AATTTATAAAATGTATGCCAATGCACACACAGCAGATTATTATCGACTTCTAAGTTTTCGTCATCAATCCCATCATCTGGTTTTTGGGTGGTTGTGGGTGTGGGTGGGTGTGGGTGTGTGGGTGTGGGTGTGGGTGTGGGTGTGGGTGGGTGTGGGTATGGGTGTCTTCTCTCACGTTCATATCCACATCCACACCCACACCCACACCCCACACCCACACCCACACCCACACCCACACGCACACGCACACGCACACGCACACATACTCACACCCACCCATACCCACACCCACCCACTCCCACACCCTGATATGCTGCTCGAATTTTTCTGATATTTTTGGACAGTGATATGGAACTTTCAAAAATTCAAACTTTTTTGCTGGGTTGATTCTGCACTCAACTTTCAGGCGCTGCAATCCTGCGAGAAAATATTTGAAAAAATTCGAGTAGCATATCATTTTACTCAGAATTTAATGCTCTATGAAACTGCACATTTAAAAAAAACTGGGATCGGTTTTCCGGAAAACTCCTGGCTGGAAAACCGGGTTTTCCAAAAAAGCATAGTTTGTTTTCGAACTAAAATAGGCTCATTGAATAGAGTATTCAAATCTGGATATGTAGTATAATTTTCAGATTGCTACCTCACTCGCTAAGGGAGATATGTATAAATCAAAAAACTATAATAGGGTTTTCAAGGGTTTTGGGCCTTTAAATGCATTATTTTTATAGAAGACTCGAGTTTTGAAACATCCCAAATTTGATATTCTATAAGCTTAGATGCTTTTGAGTGTATCTGACTGGTTTTTTGCGTGTGAAATGCTCAGTTTGGATGCCTGAAGGACAAAAATTCAATGAGGCAGCTAGCGCTATCTGCATATAAATTCAACGGTTTTCCCATCAAGGTTCTATTTTTAGCAGGTTTCGACCCGATATTTGTGATTAGCATGAAATTCTGAATTGAATGATGTATCTTTCACAAAAATTTAAAGAAAAAAGTTTTTAGACGTTCCTGAGAGGTCATAGGGGCGAAAAATTTTCAAAAAAAACGAAAGTCGTTTTTTTAGTGAAAAAAATACGTCATTTTGTTCAGAATTCAACGCTGATTCCGAATATATGATTTTTATGCAAAAATATTGGGGGCCGAAAAATGGCCTTATCCGCCTCCCTCCTTTATCATGAAGTTAAGCGCATAACATGCACAAAAAATACCTGAATCTATGAAAGGTCTACTATGGAATCGGAATCGATATCTACATGTATATTTACATATGTTTAGAATGTTCGAGATACTTGTCCGAGTAAAAATCAAAAGGCCAAGGTTTTGAAAAGCGATGCTCATAGCTGGACCACACTAGTACTTAGTCCCAAAGCGCCAGCTCTTAACTCGCTCATAAGCCCTAGAACGACCGATCACACTGTAGAGGGTATATTAAGGACATATGAAATCTTCCGATATTCTCTACTACGCAAAAATAGGATTCTGAGTGTATCAATATGTAGGGTATTAACAGTAGTATATATCCCCAAAGTTTCATGACTCTACACGTTGTTGTTGAAAAATGGCGAAATGAACAATCCATAGGTACCAATTTGGTTATCCTCATTTTTGACCAAAGGGTGCCTGTATTGTAACTTTAATATCTCAAGAAGAGAACGGTTTTAAGAGCTGAAATTTTGGGTATTTTCCTAGAACACTTGGGGCTACACATGGGCAAAGTTACATCGAAATCCGTGACATTCATTGAGCAGGGGTCCTAGTAAAAGTGTCGTCTGTTTCGTGCATTGACTCCCACAGAGATCCTTTCTTAAGTGTATTATTCTATTTCCTATCTTTGAAAAAGTAAACTTTTTTCTTAAGATCAATCGTGATACTTAACAAAGAGTCTCTTCAGGCATGTCTTTATGGACATAAAGCTTGAACATTCTTCTATCATTGATAAAAATTAGCTCGTTTGCTCAATCCGTAAGGAAGATATTCAATTTTTTCTATATTTCCTTACTTTTGGCTCACCAAGTATATTGATCATGTAACGGGTGTCCCATAAATAATGGCATTGTTCGTATTGCTTAGTAAATATCAGCTTCCTTATTCGCTGAAGCGAGTTGCGATTTTCTCCAAATGACTCTCTGTGCATTTCTCTACAAAACTGTATAAAAAGGTTTACTGGAAAAGGATGCTCTGAGAAAGAACGAGACAAAAACTTTGAGGCCCCAAAATAGCATCCTGGAAAAAGACATCTTCCACGTCTCTTGAATTTTACATAATGAAAGCGCTTCGAAAGAAACAAACCAAATACACTACTTTGTAGGCCTTCCCAAACTCTATCTTTTAGTCGTATCTTGAATTTTTTCGACACTTCATCGGGGCTGCAAACGAACATTCTCTCTTTCTAGTCTTCCTAATTTTTCGAACTTTTGCAATGTCGCTATTTCGGTGTATTGGAGTTTTTGTCTCGTAGTATCTCAGCATTATATCTTGCAGAAAATCTTTTTATAGAGTTTTATAGTAAATTGCATAGAGAATTTTGTGAAATCAACCCGATGTCTATAGAATGTATATTGACGGAGATATTTACGGAATACAAAGAGTGCCATTATTTATGGGACACCCCTTATTTTTTCCTATGATGCTTTTTTCAGACTTATTCCGTGACTTTAATTTAAATATTAGAAATACAACTCAATCATATCACTGTGATAATAGAAGGATTTATAAAAATATAAAATTCCATTTATTTTCAAAGAGCATATATGAAATTAAAACCTATCTTGCCGATACCGCGCGCCATCTTTCAACATCGTCTGTGTTGAGGAGGAACAGAAGTAATTATAATGTAGCAAGGTTATTATTGCATGAGTATATGGAATTGCATGCAACAAATCGACTACGGCTCTATCAATATATTGGAAGATAGAAAACGATGTGTTAGATATTGTACTTGCTTATATTTATGGTGCCCAAGTTGAAACCCTGCCACTGAATAAGATGACAACCTCAACACAGAACAAGAGCGACGAGTCCAATAATAATATTAATATTAATCTGAATAGCAAAGAAGATGATGGTCCGATTCTCCTTGACAGCTCATCATTAGCATCATCATCACAGTGTGGAGCCCTGAAAGGTGAAGATAAATATTTTGCCATCAACTATGAAGGCGGGAAAATGATCGAATATTGCCTGAAATCCAAGAAATGTTTGGCTTATGCTAATATTCAAATCGCAATGGATGCTCCTTTTGATGGGGTCGTTGCTACTCAAGCTATCCGTGTAAAGGGACCCACTGAAAAGCAACTCTTTGGTTACAATCAACAAACATTATTATCTGCCATCAATCAAGTTTTTGATTACATTATTGATGAGTTTCCTCAACCATTCGTTATGATCCAGATTGCCCGAGGAAGATCCTCAGCAGATACACTGCAAGACATTCACCATATCTTAGATAAATTAACTGATTCTGGTTGTAAATATGAAATCAAAACAGGTTATCGATCGTCCGATTATTTCAAGATTCCAAAAGATTCTGAACAAGAATTTGTGTTTGTGAATATCGGCATGTTTGCTCGATTAACCAATGTCCATCAAATGCTACCCGGAACAACCTGTAATCCAATTGCAACTATCGATTTAGATATGAATGACGAACAAAGATTAATAATCGTCAACAAAAGAAGTCATGATGATGCCAAAAATATTTTGAATCATTTTTCCTCCCAATTCCAAAATATTATATTGTTCGGAATGACTGATCAAATGCCGTTTGTCACACCGGATCAGTATCCTACTATTGAAATACAACGACTTATTCATTTGGTCCTCACATCATAAATGTATGCCAAAGATTTTTTCGTCATCTTAAATGTTCATTAAGTTAATGAATGTAGTTTCTTTGATTGGGTTGTTGGGAATTAAACGCCCTATGCCGTGAGGCATCCCCTGCCGGTGTGTGTTGCGCACAGAAACAATGCAATGTCTGTGTTTTTTTGAATTCTCGCTAATTCACCAACCAAATTGTCGTGGCGAGGGTGTAGGTGGGTGTGAGTGTGGGTGTGGGTGTGGGATGTGGGTGTGGGTGTGGGTGTTTAATTTATCTGCAGACAGACACACCCACCCACACCCACCTACACCCACACCCACACCCACTCCACCACCCACCCCCACCCCCGCATCCACCCTGAAAAAACAGATGAAAATGATGTTATACAGCTTATCTTATGGAATTTTATGACAACTGCTTTCGTCTGGTAAATCGAATATAAAACACAAAAACATAACGATCAAAAGTCAGTAGTTGAGTACATGATATGCGAACTTCTTAGGATATTCAATAATTATACGGATGAGAATCTGTTCATTTACGAATCTTTATAATAATCAGAATTAACCAATTCAGTATGAAACTGCTTGAGAACAGAAGGGAAAATACCGTCTTTAGTAGATAAATTGAACAACAAATTCTCACAGTTTTCATCAGTAATTTATTTTTACATAATTCATATCAATGGTAAAGTAAATGAAAAAATAAAATATCATATCTATAACGAATTGTAATTCTTCGTTTCTTCTATTTCGTATATTGTTACCCAGGTCTTTTATCTCATCATGATGATAACTCGAATATACTTTTCGAACTTTACATTCACACAAACACATGTATATAAATAGAGAATGAATACAAGAACAAGGTCATTCGTTGAAAAATGAGTATAATATCTATTCTTTTTATTTTTATTATTATATTTCTTTTTGTCTATTTACTTTATAATCACTTTTGTTATTTTTCTAATCGTTCAATCCCTTCTCCACCAATACATTCGATAATATTTGGTCATTTATATGATCTTTGGTCAGCTAAATCCTATTCAGAACAACTTCATCAATAGACTCGTCAATATGGTTCTGTCTATGGTCTTTTTGAAGGTACTCGTCCTCACTATGTCATATCTAATATCAAGGTCATGGAAGAAATATTTATTACACAGTTTACTCGTTTTTATGCTCGACGAACTACATTAGCAAATCGTATAGTAGGTGAAGAACATCTTAATGTTTTTTCAGCTAATATAGTTCAACTATGGAAAAAACAACGTAAGATACTTAATCCAACATTTAGTGGAGCAAAAATGAGACGATTATTACCAACAGTTGAAGCATGTATTAATGTATTTATGGAAAGGTTAGCATTAATACCAAACGGAACAATGATTAATATTTATGAACTATATAAACGATTAACAATGGATACTATTTGTAAGATTTTGATCTGATTATATAATTTCGATTGATTGAATGAATTTATTGAACAGGTCAATGTGCATTTAGTATTAATACAGAAGTGCAATGTGATCTTAATAATAATAATATTTATATGAAAAAAGTAGCAGAATTATTTCAACACGATTTTGAACGTACACGTCTAGGTAAAATACATCGTGCTACATCTGATACACTATTAGCGAATGTATGGGCGTTTATATATCGTTTGCAACAATTTTTCAAAGGTAAAAATTCATCTCTTCCAGCTGGTATTTGGTTGAGAAAACATATGTACGAATTTATCCAACAAAGATATATTGATCTAAATAAAAAGAAATCTGTTGAGGATTTTGTTCAATTGATGATTGATGCTGTACATTCAGACAAGGTTTACATCATTATACTTCATAAATTGTATCTGAAAGTTTTTAATTTTATTCTAATAGGAACAACTATTGCCAACTGAACTGTTAAGTAATGTATTTATTATTCTTATCGCTGGTTTTGAAACAACATCAACAGCACTTGCTTATTGCACATATCGTCTTGCTATACATCCAGATATTCAACAAAAATTATATGAAGAA